ATGACAGCACTAACGTCGTCGTTGTGCTCTGTTGTTCTGCTGGAGGAGCAGAACTCAAACTTATGACTGTCTTCAGGTGCAAAACTATCTCATGAACTCTACCAAAGATGCGTGTGTACCAGCAAAGATACTCAAGTGATAAAATGATGAAAGAACAGTATTTAAACTTGTTTTATTCACCAGGATATGCTAATCTACATAGCTGCCACATGTTGGGTTCTGTGTTTAAACTATGACTTAAGTCATGTCTTCGGTAGTGTCAAGGAAACATTTTAGAGAGTTGGAACTAAGCTGCTTGTCATCTCGAGAAGAATGACAAAAACCCTAGAGTCATCTGATGTAGCTGTTAACCACCATTCAAAAAGTATTGCCCACAGACAGTGGGGAGAAATGGATGCTGGAAGTTCAACATGAATATACAGCAAGGAGCAAACATATGTGCACCTACTGTAAAAGCTTCCTTTGGGGTTGTCAGTGCTTAGTGAAAATTCCTTGAATGCAAGTTTTCATCCCATATGCATACCAAATTCTGCACTGAGTGTCCAGATAATTTTGCAGAAAATGAAACTAGCAAAAAACTAATCCCGTCTCCAAATGGGATCTACAGATCGGAGGCAGATGATGAAAGCATTGCAGTTCTCCATGCCAATACTCTGCGTGTGTTTTGTAGCAAGAGCGATGTCACTGGTTCAATGGATTTTTGTACAGTTTTAATATGATTTCATTTTTTATAACTAATTATCCTAGTTCCAAGTTGAATCCATACTTCCTCTGCATAGTATTTCCTGGGTTACCTGAAAATGCAGGATGGTTATGCCTGCTATAAACTGAACGACTGAAAATATAACCAAAATAATTAGGGAATGTTGTCTTTGTTCTGTGTCACTCTCCAATACAGTGAAAGAGGAGTGGTATGCCAGAATCACCAAACTGAGAAAGATGGTAGATCAACTCTTCTGTAAAAAGTTTGGTGAGTACAGTATTATTATTTTCTTTTTTTTTATGGCTTTGTATTTCTTAAAAGATTGCTTTCATTATTTCCTTTGCACGTCTACATGAATGAGACCTTTGATCAGTTTTTTCAAATATTTAAAATCCTGTCAGTTGAGTGAAAAAGAATGTATTACTCTACTGCTTATACAACAAGGTAAATTCATAGTTAAAAAAATTTATAAATCTTATATGTATAGCTCTTCTAATTGCTCTCAATTCCTTCCTATTTGGATTTTATTCCTTTGGTGAATAAAACAGCCAGTTACTTATTTATATCTGTTGCAGTACCATTAAAATTAGTATTAGAACATTTCTGGGTGAATTTTTATGTTCTCTCCAATATAAAAAAAACCCAGTCAACTTCGTAAGAGCTAGAATAACATGTTGCTCGATACTCTATAATAGATTAAAAACTTTGGATAAAACCACTGTATTATGCTGCAGTGAAAAACCCAGTAATCTTCAGTCTAGCATTGTGACTGCCCATATCAACATGATATGGGCAGTTTTATAAGTTATATAACATAATATACATGATATTTTATATCATGTGTATATATATATATACATAAAAAAGGTAATTTTTTATGTTCTTGTTGTGTTGAGACTTGGACTCTGTGGGGTTTAGATATCCTGCATCGTCCCAGGTTCTAAGATCACGATTGCAACAGCCTGAAGATTTGGTAGCTTAGCTAGCTTTTAATAAAGGTTGATGGCCAAACTGTCCAGTTACTGGATGTATTTTGTTCTGACAGCCGAGGCCCTGGGAAGCACTGAGCCTAAAGCTGTTCCATACCAGAAATTTCAGGCCCATCCTACTGACCTCTGCGTTGAAGGGCTGCCAGAGAACATCCCCTTTAGGAGCCCCTCCTGGTATGGAATCCCTCGCCTTGAAAAAATAGTTCAAGCGGGCAACAGAATAAAATTTGTGATCAAAAGGTGAGTGTTTGTTTTAATGCCTAAACGTGGGGTTTTTTTGAAAAAGAGGCCAAACAAACACCCTTTGTGTAGTCAAGCACTTGGTTTCATTAAGTCATGAAGCATTTGGTCTCTAGTTACCAAATAGGCAGGTTAAATATTCTGCGTTATAAAGTGGGTATTTGCAATCGAGACGAGTCTTCCAAAATATCTTTGTGGCATTTTCACAAGTGTGAAATGCATAATAGAAAAATCCAAACTTTTCAATTCGTGTCATAATAAGTAGTAGTAATTAATTTATGTCAAGAATGGGCAGATTATTCGCTTTCTGGTTGCAGGCCGGAGCTGCTAACTCTCACTTCAACCGAAGTTATTCAACCCAGGTCGAACACCCCAGGTAAGACAGGTGCTGTCTCCAGGTGGGAATGGAAGGGATTGGTGGGGACACAAATTTGGATCAATGCAACGTTTTTCAAGAAGTAACCCTTCTGTGATGAGCGTGCTGACATGCTCTTCATGAGGTTTGAAAGGAATGAATTGATCATTATGAACGTGGATGGCTTTCTGGATTGTGGTGCAGTCCAGCTGTCTTTGAATAACAGAACGGATCACCTTCACAGCCCGGGAGAACTGGAGTTACTGTCCTGGCCTGAATCAAAGCTCTGGAGCCCCTTAGCGTTTCACAGCTGACTTTGTTGGGCTTTTTTCAGGCCTCTGTTGGTAAGGAATTGTAATGACTTCTTGTAAGCATGAAATACCTCTAACCCAGGAAGAGAATCCAGATTGGTTTTTATTTCCTGAGACAACCGAATGCTCTGAATTGGTGTGTTGATACTTGCTTGCTACAGAAGTGTACAATCCAGAGTATGAATCTGGTGGTAGTAATAACACAAACCAAGACCCAGGGCTTGCTAGGTTTCTTCCCCCCACGTTTCACTGGATAAACAAACTGCAGCTTCAGGAAATAATTGTGTTGAGCTCTCTGCAGAAAAAAAAGGAAAGAATATGATTTAATAATCATGTAATCAGTAGTCGTCTTATGTCATCACAACGTACTGTGGATTTTTTTTGGATTGTAGGAAAGGCTCATGTTCAGCAAGAGGGGTAGCTCACCAGAAAAGACTGTGTTCAATATGGAGCAGAAGGAAAAGGCAGCGTTGATTGGTTTGTTTTGTTGCCAAAACCCCGATTGTTGTCAAATTTGACAATATGACTGACAATTTGACAATGAAGTAGTAACAGCAGGTGCCAATGATAGCAGTAAAAAAACAGCTAATAAAATCCTCTTTCTGAAAGAACCGACGTGCGGTGGCTGTGATTCTTAAAACTCAGACTGTTTGAATCTTCAGAATAACATTTCTTTTTGTACTAGTTATATTTTTCACTAACTTACAGGTGAGTCTGGTATTATCGGTGCCCACAGCAAAGCTTACCAGGGTCCAGGGTTTGATGTCAGACAGGTAAACCCAGCAAATGTTCTCTTGGGCTTAGAGCCCAGTGAAAACCATTTTCCCAGGCAAAGGCTGAGGAACTTGTTCCTGCAGATGCAGTACTTTATGTTGCTAATGAATATTATACCTTTTAAGCAAAATATCATTCTGTTGCAAAATAATAATCCGGTGCCCTCAACAGATAGTCTGCAAACAACGTTTTTTAAAAGTAAATTAGTCTTAATTCCTTTGCCAGTGAGACTACAACCTGCTCATAAATACAAACACATGTGTAGGTGTTAAATACCTGTGAAATCTATCAAATAAGTAGGCCAGATTGCAAAAAATATGAATGCATCTTGCCTTGACAGTATAAGAAGCTAGAAATAAAGAAGGTCAGGTAATTTGTTAGTCAAAAATATTATTTAGAAACAAAAAATTCCGTATAGTTTCTTTCCTGCATGCTCTCCACAACTCTGAATGGTATTAGCTCAATAGCAGTTAATTGTTATTTGTGGGTTATGATGAAAAGTAATCAATTATGCTGTTTGTCAGAAAAGTAGTGCTTTTTATTGCTGCTAGTGTCCTTTGCTTTCTTCTCCACCTAAGCCACAAATTGTCTGCTCTGGCTAGCATTCCTATAATTGACTTTTATTTACAATAGAGAACAAGATTGAAGATGATTTTTTTTTTATGCTAATCAAAATGTTTAGCAAAGCACTCTCTGCATCCTCTTCTTCTGTTCTAAAGAGTGTTATTCTTATGCACTATGATTAATTAATTCCAACTTTGTCAGAGCCAATAATTCCTTCCTGCATCTAAAGGCTCTGAAGAACAAGTTCTCCCACTTGGGGCAACGTTTGAAATTTGTAACCACGTTTAAACAGATTTTCCATTATGTAGAGGGAATTACGTGTATCATTTAAGCTGCTATTAATAATCATTGCTCATTGTATGTCTGTGTCTATGCAGATGTGATTGTGTTGATAGTTTACAAGTTCTTGTGTTCGAATGTGCCTCTTTATCTAGAACTGGGTAATACTCTGACATCTGTCCATTTCTGGTTTTCAGCCAAAGAAGATTGGAACGTCAGGATCACAAAGCTAAGAAAACAAGTAGAAGAGATATTTAATATGAAGTTTGGTAAGTTACGTGTTAAATGAACTGTTTTATAATGCTGCTGTGTTTTAAAACTCGTCTGTAAAAAGAGTTTTAAATTTTACCGTTCTTATTTAAACATCAGAAATGTGCTAGGTCAGGTGTGGAAATCTTGACTCCTCTCACCTACTTTTTACTGACTCTTCCCTATAACTGACATAAATGGCTTTATAACAACATCCTAGGCCATAGATTTTCCACTTGTGTGACAGAGATGATATGTGTGCAAAAAGCTTTTGGATGAAAAAAGTTCACAAAAGAAAATATTAGGCACTGCAGACTTAGATGTTATCTGTAACAAGATGGACAAAGTCGCCATTTGCAATTATTCTACAGAAAATAATAGAAAATCTATTTAAATATTTCTCTTGGGTTTTTTAATTATCTCTGAGTAGCAGAGCTTCTGTAAGCCAAGCTTCTTAAAATCACTTGAGATAAAATACCACCCATTTGAGTGTGTAAACTATCATTAAATTTTTATTTTCAGCCCAAGCTCTGGGGCTTTCAGAGGCAGTGAAAGTTCCCTATCCTGTATTTGAATCAAACCCTGAGTACTTGTACGTCGAAGGCTTGCCAGAAGGAATCCCCTTCCGGAGTCCCACATGGTTTGGAATTCCACGCCTTGAAAGAATTGTTCGTGGGAGTGGCAAAATCAAATTTGTTGTTAAAAAGTATGTAATTCAGTTATTTTTACTCCTGATTTTGAAGTTATTTGATTTTCTTCCCAGCAACTTCAGGCTTTAAACGCTACCTAAATTCTGTTTCCATGAAACAGAAAGAACATTTTGCACATATGTTTTACCTCATAAAAGCATATACCTTCCTTATTAAATTTAAATAGATGTATAAATTGCGTGTTTCATGCATCAAGGATCTAGGGGAAAAAATGGCCTTGTACCTGGAAGCTTTTTTCCTTTTTTTTTTTCATTCTTTTTCTTTATTTTTTTGCTTGAAAGAAACCCAGAAGAAAATTACAGAGTAGAAAATGTAGCTTTATGTTTTCTAACTTTTTGTGGTTATAGTAGATGGAGAGTCACCCGTGCTTCTAGCAGAATTTTATTATAGAGAGCTGATGTTATGTAAATTGGAACTCAAATGAATTCTAAGAAATTTGTAACATTTTGCTGTATTGTTTTTCTTGCATGTATAATTGATTGGATTGTGTTCTGTTCAACTTTTAGGCCTGAGCTTGTCACTTCCTATTTGCCTCCAGGACTGGCTAGTAAAATAAACACTAAAGGTAAACAATTAAGTATTATTTGCTGCCATCAATTCATAAATACTTACTTTTTGCTTCCTTAGCAGACTGAGAGATCTTTGTGGTTAAAAAATACGGGTGTCACAAACAAAAGGCATTATTTAAGATGATCTAGTGTAGTAGCCTCTGAATCTGCTTTTATTTGAAGAAGTTACTCAAAACATAAATTTATCTACTTTTTTTTACTTAGGACTATTCCAGTGCAGAAAATGGAATTTACCCAATTTCAACAACTTTTATTTTGCGATTAATGGCCTAAACCATATTTAACTTACAGGTGTGAACTGAAGTAAATAGCAATGAAGTTTTGTAAGAAAAGAATAAAAAAGAAAGCCATTTAAGGTTGTCTATAAAAAAACCAGAAGGTAATAATTTTGTTATTTAGATAATAAAAAGTACCAAAGCTGTCCCTCGCACTTAGAAACACTGAAGTCTTCTGTTCTGAATTAGTGGAGTGAAAATTTAGGTGTGATACCTGCCTTTTTCAAGAGTACTAAGCCTACTTTTTAATGCTGTGTCACTGTATTGTTCAGATTTTACAATGGAGACTGCACTTAGTACAGACACAAGTGATTCTTCAGTCTGTTGGAATTTTCAGAATACAGCTGGTTTTTCATTAGCTGTGCAGGATATACATTACAGAGGGTTTGTGCATTACACTTTGTATTATATTGACTTCCAGCAATGAGTCCAAAGAGTTCAAAAAGGTCGCGAAGTCCTGCAGACAATTCAAACGTCCCAGAGATTGAAGTTACTGTTGAAGAAGGTATGGAAGAAATACCGTTAAATAGTCTTCTGATGTTGTTCTCTTCTATTCTTCTAATGTTTTCTGTTCTTCTCAGTTTTCGTAGCCCATAATTAGCTTATACGTGCACCTCATGTAGCAAACTCAGTTTCATTTCAGGGCTCCAGGTACACTTTAATATAAAAACAGTTCTATTTTTCGTTTCTTAATAATACTGGATTCTGTGCAGATGATGGTTATGTATAATGTTGGAGTTTGACAGCTTGCTTGGGCCTTTTATTCCAAGGAGAGATGTGGGAACTGATGTAGTCCTTAGCAGAGAAATGACAGACGTGATCAGTAGTACCAAATGCTTAAATACAACCCGAGAAGAACTTCTTACGGGGTTTTTTATTCTACTCTTGATTCAGAAGTTAAGTTTTCTCTAGTAATCAAGTTTGATGTTTTGTTCTTTTTCATATGATGGCTTGCTTCTGCTCTCTGCATGTATATATGTAATGTCTTTTTACAGGTCCTAATAAACAACAAACAACAGATGTTCGAACTAATTCTCAAACCAATGGGTCCAATATGAGTTTCAAGCCACGAGGAAGAGAGTTTTCTTTTGGTAAATGTTCTGGGAATTAGCACACGTGCATTCTATTAATGTTGGTATTGAAAATTCTGGTGATTACATATCAGAGATATTTTGAATTCATGTTTTATCCTACAGTTAGTGAATGACTGAAGTTCCTGTTTTCATGTACATTCAGTTCTTCGTCGTATAGAATAATCTGCATCAGAGAAATCCTGGATGATATGTGGAGAATGCTGTACAAATGCAGCACGGGTCCGTTAGATCGTATTAGCTTGGGTTCAGAATCGGTCCCTTTAGACTTTTGCTGCTCTGTTATTTCACAGTGCTGCAGACCCTTGAAGGACTGTCTGGTGCACCCAGCTGTGATCTGATATTGTGCATAAGCTTAATAAGCGCTCCACAAACTTGAAATGTTGAGCATCACTGTGCGGAGATACCCAAGTGGTATGTAGGAACTAGGAAGGATTTGAACTAACATTAGTAAGCCACGATCTATCAGAGCTGATTTTGCAAGATCGCCATTATAGACCTCTCCGGTTCTGGAAAATCAGTAAAGGAAAAGCCAGACAGGAGTGGAAGCCATGTAGTTGTGTTCATGAGCATTGGGCCTGAGCTTTTTAACCATGGAGGACCAGGCCTGTCTGCGCAGTGCTCTAGCACAGAAATCTTTGCATTGAAAGCAGGGTCAAATTTGCAACCCAGATAAATTCCTCGTAGTCAAGGGAGTTGAATGACTGTATTCAGAGTAACTGTAAGCAGTTTCCAAGTCTCATGAAACCTTTTTTCAGCATCCTTATAGTCTCAGGTTATTTGCTTATATTTATGTAGGAGTTTGTTGTTACTTGATTTTTTGTATTTGTCCATCGTGCTTTCTTTTTAGCCATATGGTCATAAAATGTGAAACAAAAGAATTCTTTGCTCCTACTGAGAGTTTAGAATGAATGTAAGATACTGATTTGGTATGACTGCTCCTTCTGGCATGGGCAGTATTCATATTCACAGTTGTGTACAGTTTTCTTGGACTTGCTTGTTATTGTTAGACCTAAGCTTTTTTTAAGCTTTAGTCTCTGTTGTGGTTTAATCTCAGTTGGCAACTGAGCACCACCCAGCCGCTCGCTCACTGCCCCCCCTGCCCCAGTGGGATGGGGGAGAGAATTGGAAGAGCACAAGTGAGAAAAACTCGTGGGTTGAGATAAAGACAGTTTAATAATTGAAATAAAATAATAATAACAATAACACCACCACCACCACCACACAAAGCAAGTGATGCACAGTGCAATTGCTCACCACCCACCGACCAATGCCCAGCCAGTCCCCGAGCAGCGGCCCCCCCGGCCCGCTTTCCCCAGTTTCTGTACTGAGCATGACGTCCCATGGTATGGAATGTCCCTTTGGCCAGTTTGGCTGTGCCCCCTCCCAGCGTCTTGTGCACCTGCAGCCTGCTCAGTCGGCAGAGCATGGGAAGCTGAAAAGTCCTTGATTTAGTGTAAGCATTACCTAGCAACAACTAAAACATCGGTGTGTTATCAACTTTGTTCTCATCCTAAATCCAAAACACAGCACTGTACCAGCTACTAGGAAGGAAATTAACTCTATCCCTGCCGAAACCAGGACAGTCTGCAACTTTCTTAAACTTTCAACTGAGTTTTTAGTTCTGTAGACCAGCTACGGACCACTTACTGCAGCCGCAAGTAAACTGGTTTAGGAATTGCTGCTGGTTGCTGTCAGAAACAAAATGCCTAGCTAGATGGACGTTTAATCTTACCCACTGCAGTTGAAATTATGATAGAGTTTATAGTTCTCAAAGAGAGAGGCATGTGTTTCAGGGCTATGTCACTGAGCATATGAAGAACTTTCTGCTGCTATTTTGGGTGCTGGTTCAGATGAGTAGTTTTCATGTTGCCTGATATTGTAAATTTGGATCACTCTTGGATTCATTTCAATTTTAATCGTCCTTGCTTTAGTTAGCAGTATTTTTCAAAACTTTAGGAAAATGAGGATTCACGTGGATATAGGTTTAGACTGCAGCAGAACGTTTCAGTGCCGTTTGCAGAATGGTAGCCATTTTGCGTATTTTACTGTCATAGTAAATCGGTTATCGAGCATAATAATTTATTAAACATTTATTAAAATATTCCTCAAGGACTGATTTATTGTGTGCATGTTGATTTAATTCTTCCAATTTCCTCCTGGCAGAGGCGTGGAATGCCAAAATTACTGACTTAAAGCAGAAAGTCGAAAACCTTTTTAATGAAAAATGTGGTAAGTTTATTGATTCTTTTTTTACTGAGATGTCTTTCTTATGAACATGCAGTTAGACGTATGATAGATATGTTCACGTGTTTATTCCAAAGGTCCTGCAATCCTTGTGTACTCTAGGCAATCTCTCATTTTTGAGTTCATTTTCGTGTAGGTTGCTTGCAATTCTGTGTCACACTTCCACTAGTTATTTTATTTGGGTTTGGAAATGGAGAAGTTGTGGTTGGATTACTACTTCTGTAATGACCCGGAGACATAGTGACTCCGCATCCTGGCACATCATTTAAGTTTTCTTCGCTCTGCTTATGAACTTTGCATGACTTCAGCCTCTGCATGACTCAGTATGTTATGGATGGTATCTGGAGAGACGTGCTCCATCGTATCCCAGCGCTTCTTCTAGTGCAGGCTGTTAGGAAGCTAATGACTTTTGGAAGTAATGACTCCTCATTACTCTTCTGAGTGCAGTTTTTGGAACAAGACCTGACTAATGTCACCTGCCCTTGGTGCTACTCTCTAGCAGAGGCAAAGACAGAATACACTGCGTGTAACAAAGTGGAGTACAAATGGGATAGTCTTGTATGCAGACCAAGCCAGTGGCACGAGCTGTCTATAAATACTAATATTTTCAACTGCAAATTATGATCAGATTTACTGCAACAGAATGAGTTATGGTTGAGACTGTTTATTTTCTTCCTGCCTACTCATAGCTGTCACCAAAAAAAAGCAAAGCCTGCTGGTTCCACCTAATCTAGTATGTATGTGCCAACTATTATATACCATTTATACCTGAGATTTTCCTTTTTATAGACACATCAGTTATCTAGCTGGTAGCTTATTTGCTCTGTTGCATTTCAGGGGAAGCGCTGGGGCTGACTGAACCAGTGAAGGTGCCGTTTGCATTGTTTGAATCCTTCCCGGAGGTTTTCTACGTGGAAGGACTACCTGAGGGGGTGCCATTCCGCCGACCTTCTACTTTTGGAATTCCAAGACTAGAGAAGATCCTGAGAAACAAATCAAAGATAAAATTCATTATTAAAAAGTAAGACTCCCATATGTCTTTGATAATCCATTCTATGAGAATTGAAATATAGACCAAAAAATGAAATTGTGTTGCCAAGTTGCTAATTTACTCTACAAAACACACACTGGAATATTTTTAGTAAATAAGGAAATGGTCAGAAAGCTCTTGCAGAGGTCGAGCAAGATACAGTAATCTCTTTTTGTTCTGAAAGACACTCACAACCTGTTTTTGGAGGAAGAGCAAGTCCGGCTTTCTTAGCCCATTTCAGTTATCACATCACTGGTTTAGTTCCTACTGCGTGGAGCGCTTATGGGTTACTCACAAAACTTGCCACCAGTGTACTAAGAGCTGAGAAGTGGAGATTCATATATTGGGAGTTGTAAGAATTTATTTTTCTTGTCTAGAATAGGTTTAGATACCCATGTGCCAGTGTAGAAACAGCGGCAAGAGAAGTTGCGGAGCCTCTCAGCCATTGCATTCTTAGCTGCCTGTTTGGCTGAGAGTAATATAGCATTTACGATATCACTTAGTTCCTGTCTTTAGTAAATTAATATTAGAAGATCTCATTTTCTTTAATGTTGATGAATGTACTTTTATTACGGTACATGTTCAATCTGTTTGCAGGCCTGAGATGTTTGAGGCGGCTGTTAAGGAAAGTTCTGCTAGAAGCCCCCAAAGTGAGTTTTGCAACTGCTTAACGTTCTAGATAACAGTCTCTTTCAAGGACTAAATACAGATCAGGAGTGCTGCATGGGGTTAATGAGTTCCTGAAAGATTCATTCTACATTGTGTTTGGTTTGCTTGTTTGTTTTTAAGATGGGAAAAGCACTTTCCAGTTACAGTTTTAATACAGCTTTAGCAAGGGAGTATTAAATTTTTTAGTTATTCACAATAATCATGCCTCTAATATATTCTTTACTACCTTTTATCAAAATGTAAGAAGCAACGTGTGATTCACAGAAGTAATTCAGGCCTAGAGATAAATTATTTGATCCTGATATGTATGTCGTCTAAATGAGAAGTGCTCCACAGATAGGAGTGCAGATAGCCAGTAGAAAACTGTGTCGGGCAGATCACGGATTAAATGTTTTGAGTCATATTATTATCTGTTAGTATGGGCTGGCAAAACTCCACTGAGTGAGTTGAACTATGCTAGTTTGTGCTGCTGGACAGTGTGGCTTACAAATCTAACTGTAAGGGATTTCTTTTGTGAATGCGTGCAGTGAACATGTGGATCAGTAGGTGTTACTAAATTAACTGCAAGTACTATGATATTTCTGTTAATAAAAATAGCCCACTACCTGTTCCACATACTCTTTTTTTTCCTTTTCTTAATAGTCTTTTTAGAAAATGGTAAAGATTAACAGTGTCTTTAATCTAGTCCTTTCTCCTCTTGGGTTGGAAAGACAGAGTAGTGTGTACCTTCAATAAGTATGTCTCACTGGAAGCTGAACCCGTTTTGAAAATGGGACTGGGTCTGCTTTGAAAATTTTGCACATACCTGTTATTTTGCAATATTTTCTTTATATTCGACAGTCAAGATTTTGGGCTCTTTACGACTGTTTTTTAAATTAATTCTCTTACTTTTAGGAAAAAATAATTCATCCAATATAACCAATACAGCAAGCACCACAACAAACACAGTGGTGAACACAGCTGCAGGTGTTGAAGATCTTAACATCATTCAAGTAACTATACCAGGTGTGTATACTGTCAGGTTTCACATCATACTTTTTGCGTTATATTCCCCATGACATATGTTTAGTCTGATGAAGTTTTTTCCTACAGTCAAGTTGTTTCACTGAAATATAAGTACAGTCAACAAAGAGCGTAATTTAGCATTCTGTTTTTGCTGAGATGTTAAATATTTTCTAACGCTCATGAATATCTATTCAGTGACATCTCTAGAATATTCTTGGTCCAGCCCCTAGTTAAGAAGTATGCACGTTTTTCCCTTTTTTCTCATGCAATGAATTAAATACTGATTTGCAATTTTCTTGGCAACTTCAAGAGATCAGGACTCAGACTGAATTGAATAACCCCGCAGACTGAACTGCTTTGTCTTAACACTGATTACTACTTTCTCAGGCATCTATTACATTCATTAGAAACCGTGAGGAACATTGCATGCTATGGCCATCTGTTGAATGTCACTTTGCTTTTACCTTTCCCCACCATTATACGTACTGTAAGAAAATAAAATATAATTTGTGGGTTTAGATTAAATTTACAAAATCATCTCTAGATAGTAAATCTAATGTTGGTTATGTAAATACTTTGAAGCTTCTCACAGATTTATTAACAACCATCTGTTTTTGCGTATTTCTACACTTCTATGTTACTGCTAAAACTAGGAACAAAGACGGGGGCTGTTTCGAAGCATTCAGATATACCTGCTTTGAGTAAACATGCAACGATAAACAAGCTTCAGGGGGAAAAAAAGCTGCTTAATTCTGATGCTATTCTAACAATTCCTTCCAGATGATGAAAGCGAGCGACTGTCAAAAGTAGAGAAGGCCAGACAATTGAGAGAGCAAGTAAATGATCTTTTTAGCCGGAAATTTGGTAATTGCTTCTTACTCCTCCATTTTTACATAGGTGTGAATGCAGTTAATGTTGTTCATATTGAAGTTACTGAATCGTCACAGGGGATGATGTATATGACCGCTAAAATGAACAAATTTGAGAATTGTATACGAATGCTGTGTTTTGGCTTCAAAAAGAATCTTTTGTAAGTGATGTAGGTTGTTTGGTGTTTTAAACAAAAAATCCCAAGACTATAGATTGCTTTCAGTTCCGCCCCCTTCCTGTTTATTTCTGTGTAAACATGGATGAAATACTTACTTTGCTGGCAAACCATGATTCTTCTTAGGGCTTCAGAGGCCTCTTAATACTTGAGACTAGAATAATTTTTAAAATGCAACTTAACCTTTTTGCTATGTATGGTTTTCTTTATTTCTACTTTGTACGGCAATAATGACCTGCGTTTCTTTGTCTGAAATTCCTTCACTAGTGCTCTGTTGAATTGCTTTTCGTGCGCATTGCAGGAAATGCTTTGTCTTCCTTCATGTAGCTGTTTCCTTAGATATCTTATATCTTTTTTAGTAAAAACAGAATCTGGGTCCTTTATATGGTGAGCTGTTAAGAGTTGAAGTTGTAACTAATGATCTTGTAGTAACATTCAAGAGTGTAATCCAAAACTTCTAACACTGTAATGGTTTAATTGTCAAGTGGATATTCATAGTTTCAGATCTGATAGAAAGCTTGGGTTTGCATTTAGTTTCTTAATTGTCTGAGGACTTTTTCTTCAGTGTATAATCATAAATACGTAGACTTGAACATAAACATGACCTCTCTCACTTAGGTGAAGCCATTGGTATGAATTTTCCTGTGAAAGTCCCATACAGAAAAATCACTATCAACCCTGGCTGTGTGGTGGTGGATGGGATGCCTCCTGGCGTGGCATTTAAAGCTCCCAGTTATCTGGAAATCAGCTCGATGAGGAAGATTTTGGAATCGGCAGAGTTTATAAAATTTACTGTCATTCGGTATGTAGTTGCCATTGACGAGATTGTGCAGATGTTGTGAGGGCAGCCCTGTAGCTTGAATAAATTGAGATTCGAAAGAATAGAACTTGCAGTGCCTCTTTAGATAGTGGAAGATGTTGGCTCTTTCGGAAACAGTATGTCAAGTCAAATGAAGCCCAAATGTTCATAGCATGAATGAAGATGGTAACTTTTTGGAGACATGTCCAATTTAGTATGACAAAGAGCATATTATTAATACTGCATATTACAGCAAGCTGACTTTTGAGTTTGAATCTATTCATATTCTGTAACAGAGTCCTAAAGCGTTGTGGGCCTTGCTCTCCTATTTATCAGATCAAGCTTTGAGACAGGTCCAGAGCTTGTTGGCTCTTGACAGTAATTAGTATGTTTGTAGTAGTATTAATATTAATATTTTTAAGTATTTCAGTTGTGTTAAAATTCCTGAGCTAAGGTAAGCTCTTTGATAAATGTTTTTTTTCCTACAAAATGAGTTTATCTACAATATATAAAAATACAATATTGTCCAATTACAATATAAGTGAATTTTATTTGTATGTGTATGTTTGCGGAGACATATATACACACACCCACACGTATATACAAAGTATATTTGTATGCATGAAGCAGAATAGATGAAACTTTGGAATCATACTGAGAAGGAGTTCAGGAATTGAAAATAAAAATTTATCAGTTTATGTAACTTCTCAAGTCATAGACTGCTTCACAGGAGTCTAAAAGCTTCAATTTATCTTCAGATAGAGATAAATTTCTTAAATATATTTTACTAAGGGGTCTGAATTCTCAACCCTTAATCATGAAGAGTTCTAACTGAAAGGACTTTTGCTTGATACGTTTTATTTAATTGAGCTCTGAAGAAGAAGTGACTCCCGTGTTAATTAGCTGTGACTGAGGGAAGGATATAGATCTTTCTGTGTATGTTACTTTTCAAAATGCTAGTGAACAAACCACGGTGCCCAAGAGCTGCTATGGTGGTTCCTTCTGTCTTGTTTGACTTTCTGTTCATTTTTTAGCCTGGCCTCTGTTACGAACCATTAGCTGAGGCCGCCTCGGGAGGGGGACCCAATGCAGTATATTTTAGAATCGGTAATTTTATTTATTTTTTTTCCCCCCAGACCATTTCCAGGACTTGTGATTAACAATCGTAAGTATTTATGAAACACTGCTGGCAAATGTATTTTTGTAACTTACTAAGATTTGTTTTCTTCATTTTGGCTTAGTAGCAGAGGCTCCACAGTGGTTAAGTTCTATGTATAACTCTCTTGTCTGCGTCTGTCTCATTAAGATTTCCTGACTAAACATGCATGTGCAATTAACTCGAGAGCAGTGTGATAAATTTACGGAACAGTGTAAGATTAGCGTTAACTTTGATATGAAAATGCAAGATACTGATTTTGTATTTTTCAGCTGCAGAGTCCCAAAGAGATTTAGGACCCTGACTGAGCAACAGACTTACATGGGAGTGTCTACATTTTAGGTTCGGATCCATCGCAGTAGCAGTTAATAAGCAAGAATTTTCCAGTAGCTGCACCAACCGTGTTCCAGTGAAAAATTCTTCATTCTGCTGAAACTAATGGTTTAGAGAGGCAGAGTGTAATCACCTGAAGTGCCATGGCCAATTTGGCCGTGTCAATGAAATCATTTGAGAGGGAAAAAAAAAAAAAGTCTTAGTATTTTCAGTTGCCTAAAATAATTGTGACCTTTTTTTTTTTAGATCTTATTTAAGAGAAAAAACAAACTGCAAAACACTGTCATTACAGTGTCCCTTGTGTCACGTTCTTTCTGAGCCAATGTCAGATTAGAAATTTAGAGGCCAAATAACCTACTGTTGTTTCTTTGGCCTTACCCAGCCTGAGCCTTAGCGACCCAGCAGTGGTTCATCTGCATCCAGCCACCAGCATACTCGATGATCTTAAAGGTCTTTTCCAACCTAAATGACTCTATGATTCTATATTCCAGCTAACATGCTGAGGTCTATGAACTGCAAGTACGAAGTGTTTTCGGGAAGGTATTGTAGTTGACCTGCTCACCAGTCGTAGGCACACCTTCTTAGGTGGGAAAGAGATCCCTTTGTAAGAGGGAACCTTCCAGGCAGATAAGTGTGTAATAGCATTTCCAGAGAATTGAATTAGAAATGAAAGAATCTATTAAACTGTTGTCTATCCAGCATAACTTTCAGCATGTGTTGGAACTGAGGCTAGCTAATACGCTGAATAAAAACAACATAGATATCCAATCACCTTCCATCACTGGAGGAGCAGATTGGTCATTGAACGTGTGATTTTTATGCAGTATCCATGTCCATTAACAATGATCAAAATTATCTGATATTGATAGATACTGAGGTGAATAATTGAAAGGCTCTGAGCCTTCTGCTTATGTAGGTATGATGCTTTATTCTTGTTCTGAAGAACGTGTGAGAACTTGCAAGGAAATTTTTGGTGCTTGCAGGCAAGATAGGGAATGTTTTTTCTGTAATAAAATATTGAACTGCAGCTCAATCGCAAGTGTTAGTAACCTGTTCATGCGACAAGTTTCAGGATTTGCAGATTCAAGAAGTAAGATTGCCCTTGTGTTACATGTGGGACCATTTTCATTGTGAAGTTAAACAGTGATCATGTCTAATCTTAGAACTGATGGAAAAAGCTGAAGCAGAAGCACCACCAACAGCACCAGCAGCAGCACCAGTACTACCAGGTGATGCAGAGCGTGACGCGTGTCCTTGCAGAAGGGGTAGGGTATGGAGTTCTCGATCTTATTGACAGATGATATTAGTAGTCATGTCCTGGGTACGCGCTGCTCATGATGAGCCATTTTATTTTGACAGGTGGTGTGTGATGGTGACTTTTATAGCTATTATATATTAATTTATTAATAGAAAGAGCCATTGCTTCCTTCAAGCTGTGTTATTGGCATCTTCCTTGATTTGATTTTTGCAGACGATGAGTGAGCTGAAAAGAAGGATTGGTAGGGACAATATATAAAGCCATTTCAGTATCTATTTATTGATGTCTGCTTAACTCAAAGTATGTGTGTGTCTGCGCCAGATAGATGTTCAGCCAAGTGAAGTTTGCCTGTGTAACATGTAAGAACCTAGAAAGGGGCCTTGATGGAATTTCTGCCTGCTGCACAGCTCTAACCCCTGCTAGACTGGGTCTAGGCTGGGTCTACCTATCTTAGTCTGAATGGAGAACTTAGCTTTACGCTATGAATAGCTAAAGTAAATGTAGTTGAGCAACTTCCTTTTGACTCAATATAGTTTCTAAATGTTCCCAGACCTTTTAAAAATGCGTATCCCAAGTTGGTGTAGTGCAGGAAAGACTTTTGCAATTGACTGAATAAACTGGTACTCAAAGAACCTGGGAAACTTAAGAGAAAATGTTCGATAAACATTTTAAGAGTAAGGGACGCTTGTATGCTGGAGATAATTATAAAGGAAACTACTGTCTCCTCTGTTTACATTTGGAGGTGACAGAAGGGAGGAAAACAGCTGCTGGTGGTCAGTGAACGTGGTGTAGTCTATCTGTCCTTAACTGACCTGCCGTGTTACAAAGGTTAAATGGCTTTCCCGACACCTGTCCACCTATAGCCCATCAACATAGATAACAGAAAAACCGTTATGGAATTCAAGCATACTTTTTGCCCTCTATTCTGCACCTTTCCACTCTCCCCCAAAATACACATACTCGCCATTGAAGACAATACTAACCAAAGTGATGACTCTTTTAAAATACAGTTTTATATTTAAGTGGTTTGAGTAAAGGTCTTCTAAACTTGGTATATTCTGTGCAAGTGCATGTTATGTTCTGCTAGGACTTGGTGATACGTCTGCCACGGTGAACCATACTCGGAAGAGAAAGTGTTAGGTAGTGTGATGTAATAAATGTTTGGGTATTTTTTATATTTTGCTGCAGACTCTGTAGAAAGTTACACGCATTTATCTCAAAGATATTTGAGTCTGATCCTAAGAGAAAAAATGAGGTGCTTTTTTTCAGGGAAAAAATTAATTTCCTTAATTTTTCTAAGATACTTATCTGATTCATATTGTTGAAACTATATTCATATGCATTTGACTATATTTTTTTCATTTAAGAACCAGCTGAACCAAGCCAAATAGAAGTATCTCTAGGAGGTAAGTGTTTGTCTTCAGTTATTATCAACGAATATTTTTAAGTAATTTTGAAAAAAGTTGCATCTTTTTTTAAGGGAGACAGGTCAATCAAAACAAAAAAAGGGCTTTTATTGGTTCCCGGGACAGTTTTTCATCTGTATTAATATCATGCTGCATCATGTGAAAAATATTCTGCAGCAAAAGTTATTATTCAAATAATTTTACGGAGTTTTATGAATTGTTGTTCTTGGTTGGTGAGTCATGACTATATATAGGCTTTGAGTGATTGCTCATATCCTGAGCGATGCATCTAGTTATTCAGCGCAGTAGTTTCCACAATTTATGCAAGTGAATGATTGCCATCATCAGGAAATTTGAATGCCATATTGGCCTGAGTATACCGTGTTGGGGAGGGGGGGAGTATTGTTGTTCTTCCAGAACTGAAGCTCTGAAAAACATCCAACTTTCCTGCTGTCCAAGAATATACTCGAGTTGTGTCTTTTTCAGATGTTGATATACGTGAGACCAAGGAGGCTGTAGATCTTCTACCCTCCCTGTGCTTTTGCATACGGTCTTGGAGCATTAGGAATACTGAATTGACCTGAGAACTGGGATGCTGGTGTCTGCTGTGTGCTCTGGTCCTGTAAACGCTGCCTCTGCTGTAGCCCCAGCTTGTCAGCATGGCCCTGGATGGCTGTGGCTGCCTCTGGCGTGGCTGGCGTAGGGGATCTGAGGTGCCGTGACAGTCTGGCGGGGTGCTGCCTTCGTGCCCTGAGAGGGGCTCTCTGATGTGTCAGTAGCAGCCTGACAGCAGCGTAGCCAACAGCACTGGGATGGAGGCTGCTGTGTATCAGCACTTGGCCTCTTAAAACTCTCAGCTTGAGTTCATTCCCTAATCCTGCTTTGGTTCCCCCAAAAGAGAAAGCAGCAAATCTCAGCATTCCCGTTCTTCTGTATCCTTTTCCATGGAAATGCCCTTTCCAGTCTCCATTGCTTCAGTTTTCCTGGCATGTCACTGAACTCCGAGACAAGCCAACATGCCTAACCAGAATTACTGTTACAAACTCAGCTACAGGTTCGCTCAGTGTTACGAGTAGGTCTTTCTCGGAATATAGATCAATCCTGTTGCAACATTCAAGACAAAAAGAAAGCAAGTGCATTAGAGTCACAGAAGAGCTGAGCTGCAGATTTTAAGCTCACAGTTATTGAAAGCTGGAGCGTCAAATGTCTTTATGATACCAAAACTATGTGGGATCACTGAAATTGTTAGATGGCAGAGTGCATGAGTTGTTCCTGAATACCCTCATGCAGAGGAGATCTAGCTATGGGCCTGCAAAGTGATTGTTTTGAAGAAGTAGACAAACGTAGGTTTGAATTTGTCATCCAAAACTGGATTCAGGCCCGGTAACCAGAGGAATGATCTTGAGAAAAGGCATGAAATTGCTAAAGAACTCAAAATCTCTTCAGAACTAGGCTGGAAGGTATAAAATGATCATGCGGTGAAATGGCTTGGCTTTGTAGTGATGAATTACCCTAGCCCCAAACCTTCCAAACAACTTCAGGGAAAAAACAATTTCCTTCCAACATCGTATTCTCTGTTTATAAAAAGAACAAAATCAGGTTCCAGGTCATATAGGCAGTGCTATACAGGCACGAGATTTCTTTGATTTACCTCCAAGCAGCCCTGTGAACAAGAAAAAGCAGATTTTGTAATGAAGTCTTCTGGAAATGAAAAAAAACATATCAAAAGATGATGAATGCTTTAGCCAACAAGATAAAATTTCTTTATCTCTTTTTTTAAGCATATCATAATGCCTTTCTATGTGATACTGTGCACTGAAGAAGAAAAATTAGCTAGGGTCAAAATTTGTTTTGGACAGATTGAAATACAATAATGCAAAAGCCTGTATCAAGTTGAGAAGAGAAGCAGTCCTACAGGCGGGGAAAAAAAGCTGAAAAATAGTCAGCGCTGTGAAAGCAAGCGTTTGTGCAATGAACGGTAATTGAATAACTAACCCAGAAGGCGTGACTTGAGCACAAGTAGGTTCAGATGTGGTTGGCTCGCTTTGGAAGCCAGCATCTTAAAAAACGTGAAGTCGTGCCTGAAGTCTTTGACGTCATGGGCCCCAGACTTAACCTGTGAGTGTTTGAAAGGCTTCAGCCCATGTTGGGTATCTGATGAGGTGGATGGAGGAAGGAATGGCGCTGGGGATTGACGAAGAGGAGGGAGGAGGACTGAAGAGCAGGTTGCAGACCAAAACAGTGATAGATCTGACATTTTTTCACTGGTTATGTGTTGTTTCCTTTTTTGGATTAAGTTCCTGTCTTGCCCAGTGAGTATTTCGGCTACATAAAAAGCATTTTAAAGCTTCATATGCTTCTAATACCAATTTTTATTTCTGTTCTTCAAAAAACTAGAATTCTCTAAGATCCCAGGCTGCTTTACATTGAAGTGAATGTGCTAATTTCCGCAGAATCAGATTGTTGCGAATATGTTTTTATTTGTCGTTAATAGTTTTAAAATGATAAATTAATGCTTTTCAAATTATCATAATTTTTTACTTATAAGTAAAAAAGTACTTGTTATAAGTACAACAATAACAACAAAATTGATTGAGAAGTTTCCTTTTTTCTTCATTCATTACTGCTTTTTCAACAGATACTACAGAAACAGAAGAAAATTCTCAAATAAAGCAAGAACCAGACCCAACGTGGTAGACCTCATCAATACTGGGTAAAAGAATCTAGTGAAGCCAGCGCCTGTCAAGGAATAACATTTTTATATTTAGGGTGGGGAGAAGAGGGCTGAGATGCAGGACTGAATGCCAGAAGGCACCAGTCCTTTACTTGTGAATTCTTTTATTTGTCTCAGTTCTCGCCTGTGAAAAGTAGGATGTTTTCACTACCTTACCCAAATACAATGTAAAACACACAGTGTTCAGATTTGTGAGGCAGTCAGTCCTAGGAAAACGTGGCCTATAAGTAAAAATGGGTGATGGTAATTACATACCTCAGAGGCAGAGTAAATGCAAGCTTAGGGAATTAGTGTTTACGAAGAGCTCTGACATGGTTGTGTGAAAGAGCATTATTATTCTCGGTAAAGCCTATATGTTTCCAAATTGTAATTGAGCAGGAAAGCTCTTCACTGTGATTGCAGTATTGTCTAGGCTTGGGACGTTTGGTAAAGCTATTAGCTGTGATAATAGCTTTACCTTTAAAAAGTTTTAAAGGTAAAGTTCCTTTAAAAGTTTTTTTTTTTCTTTTCCATTAACTTTTACGAAGAGCTTAGTTTAATTTACAATGCAAAAATGCCTGAACCTTCCTCTTACACTATTTTTAATGTCACTCACTCCTAAAAATGACAGTTTGGTGGAGGTGGAGAACAGTGTGAGCCATGTTACCACGACACCAAATGTAAAAGGCTGATCCACGTGGTTTTGAGACTCTATGCCTCATTCAGAGAAAATGGCAATTTTAAGCTATCACAGCTCTGTAGTACTTTTTCCCATTTCAGTTTTTTGATAATACTCCAAATATTTTCCTCATTGTGTAGTGTTTGATACTTTAGAAATTTGATTGATATAAAGTTGGATGCATTTGTTTAGTATACTCGAGCTGTAACCTGTCTAGCCTTAGTAAGAAAAAGACATTTTATTCATCCCAGAGAAGAAAATGTCTGCGTACTGTTCCAGTTCTGAGGGCACAGACAGGCAACCGGCAAAACCAAGCTCTGGTTCTTCATTTCTGCCGGCCTCAGCAGCTGAGAGTGATAATGCGGTTTGCCCCTCGCGTGAAGCAGTGGCTGGGGGAGCCTGGAGCCTGCGGGTTTCACTCCTGGCACCATCCGGCTTTTTGGAGACGGGGACAGCCTTGGCCGTGGCCCTCCGTCCGTGCAGCATAAACACAGCCTGGCACACGGAGGGCTGCTGACGGCATCGGGATGAGGGACTGAAAGGACAAATCCAGAAATGATTTGGTAGAAACTGGCAGAGACTGACATACCAGCATAACTGTCGGTGCCCTGAGAATTATAAGTACAGCAGTAGTCTTCCTAATAAATTGGTGAAGTCTGCTTTGGAAATACTTGTCATAAAACTGAACACGGCAGGAGAAAATATGCTGAAGAAAAACCTTTGGTTTGTCGTGGGAAGCACTTCACCTAGTGGAGGTGTAAAAAGCCATCTCACTTGTCCGTTAAAGGTCACGGGAAATTTTGGCTGAGCAATGGCTGCACTGTTTGGTTCTGCGGTGGTTTGGATTTTTGAGTGCTTTAGGCCACCCACTGAATTTTTACTAAAGCAAGTATTTGATCTAAATTCTTACAGAGACCGCTCAAGCACACATCTAATCTCGTATTTCTTGAGAGCAATATTCAGCTTCTGCATGCTTTCTGAATCGAGGCCTAAAGAACTCGAAAAGGCAACGCAAACTACTCCTATTTGTAATGAGATACAGAGCTGCAATGAAACTAACTCGCTTCTGTAATTTTTCTTATCTAGTCAGAAGCATCCAGTTCTGAGAAGAGCCTGCCGGGACTGTCTTGAGCTGTGTAATATAACTGTATAAGAGAAGTACCTTCTATACAAACCCTTTTTGTACTTTTAGATAGAAATGTCTACTTTTTCAGCAGTTCTGTGAATTGACTTAAAGCAAAGAGTGACTGTAGATTTGGAATGGCTGGTTTTACTTTGGAATATATTATAAGGACTAAATTTGATGCAGCAGTGCCAGGGAGATGACAGGGATAAAAATCAACAGGGACTTAACAGAGGCTGTCTACATTTCCCAATAAAGCTGAATTTCACCGTACCTGAATGCATCTCAGCTTTTGTAATGAAGAAAAATTCCTGCAAGTAGTTCAGTTTGTTAGTTTTACTTTGGAAAAAAAAAAATATCATTAATTTTTGGTTCTTACTCCTTTAATGGCTGATTGGACACTAGTATCTGTATATTTGAACTAATTTTTCCTATTATATCTATCACAATTCATATGTTTTTCATAAATAAAAGATAAACTGGTTCACTTGACCGTTAGTACGCATTAATGAGATGGACTGTGAAATGGTCAGTATTTCAGTGTGTGGATTAGGAACCAATTTAAATTAAACCCTGTTACAGTTTGTTCCATTAATTCAAAGTAGTAAGTGCATGTTTTATCAGAATATCACATGGCTTATATATGATGGGTCTGGTCTTGCAGTCCTAACGTAGGCAAAACTCGCATGGGCCTGTGTGAGAGCTTTTCTCCTGAAGGCTGTGGGGGATGCCCTTCTCTTCATCTAGAACTAGTTATGGAAACGTATGCTACAAGACGCTGCGAGTCCTACTATGTCAAAAGTTAAGTCCCCTGTAGTCCTGGTTACGCCCCACATCATGTAAGAGACTCATGTACGCATTTTTTTTTTAAGTTTCACAAACCGTAAGAGATGTAAAGTTCTGGCTATATGATAATCTCTATAGAGAAGATGCAGATTATTGTAAAGGTTTCTCTTTTATTGGCATGAGTTTGGGATGACTGCGTTACGCACAAATGATAAACCTTATTCCCTGATTAAGAAATAAAGACCTTTCTGATGGTTTTCCTGACTGTCCATGCAGTATACGTTTGCATATTTTACAACAGATCAAGTTCTAGAGGTAATTCTCCAGGCAGGTAGAACATGCCGTAGCGTAGTTATTCATTCCAGCGAAGGCAGTAAGTTCCAGTCACGCCTTTCAGACAGAAATCCAGCTCCGGGTGGGTGAGGTTGTTGTATCTTCAAGGAAAATTTTGAAGCCTTAAATTCAATAGGGTACAGTGTGAATTCCCTGGGAGCAACCTGAAATTCAGCAGATAAATTCAGAGCAGCACGTGCTCTGTCGTTCTGGAGGCAAGGGAGCGCTGTAGGACGTGTGCTGGCGTTTTCACAATTGCTCCGTGCAGGTCTAGGTGCTCCCTCTTAAATATTCGGACCTTGCGCTGTTGATGTCGGCAGGAGCAGGGTTAGCTCCATGCCGAGTCATTTTGAAAACGCTCGTCCCGGTTGTACCTTCCGGCTCTCCAGATGGGAACCGGTGGTAACCGATGCAGTGCTGCCTCCCTGCCTCGGCAAACGGCCCCTATCTCAGTCCCGTGGGAACGAGCCCGTTGACTTAACTTACCTGTTAACTCTCAGCCCTACGGGTACTGCCCCAAATTATAACCACTGACGTGTTTCACTGCTGATTACTTTAATAGACGTGCTCGGTTAACGCACCTCCGTAAATAGGTTGTTATCAGGGTGACGGCCAGTTTCGCGATTGCTGCTAGAAATGTTTAGAATGGGGAAATGAGTTAATGTAGCTTTCCCCTGGTCTTCAGCTGGCTCTCGACTTCCCCTTTTGAAAAAGCAGAAGGATGGTCCATCCCTTCTTCACTCACAGCAGTCTTCAGGAGGCACTTTTTGCACAGCTGCCTGCGCAGCAAGGCTATGTATTGCTGATGGAGTGGTTAGCGCTCACTCAAAATGAGGACGAGGCGTCATAGCGAAAAAACTGTGAAAATCAGTAATTCCAGGCTACTGCCTTGTCAAGTATGTAACAGCAGAGTGTGGACGTCCTGCAACTTCGTGTGCAGGAGCTGCAAAAAAAAAAAAGAAGTGAAAACCGATGCAGTGGTTTTACTGGAAGGACTGGAGTCCTTGTGTGACGCTGGGAGTTAGGGTGGCGGTATGCATTTGTGTCCGTCCCGCTGCTGGGCTTGCAGTAATGCTGATGGGTACGTCAGCATTCAACACTGAAGTCTCTTTTTGGTCTCAGACATTTTGAGTTCTATCCAGTAGAGAGAAATTAGACTGACAAAATACTTGCACCAATATTTATACCTTCCAAATATCAATTTTATATTAAAAAAATATCTATCTCTATATATAGTCCTAACAGGTAGCAGACTTTTAAGATGTTGACCGTGTATGAAAATCTCACTCATTTCCAAACTAGTAATACGTGAGGCGTGTCACTCTCCGGGTGTTGAGTGATAATGCCCTAAAAAGCCTTGGCTGTACTAATAAACAAGTAAATAAAGAAAATTGCAACAACTGACCAGAGCTCTGGATATTTTTTGTTCCAGCAGAGAAGCTTTGTGGTGATGAAGTAGCAGACAAGTATTTATTCCCCATGTTTTACTGAACTTTAAAGCCCGTCCTGTGCCTTGGGCTGGCGCCTTTCTCTTAAATAGGAATTTTGGACCCAAGCAGTGTAGGATCCAGGGTGTCCGTGGTGGAGCCGGGTGTTCCTCGGGTACGGCACCCCGGCTTTTCTCACAGCGGTAACCACTAGATGTCAGATGAGGCCCAGCACCTCTGTCGTGCAGCTGCTGGCCTGTGTTTTCCCTTGGGATTTGAAGTTTTCCACATACAAAACTTGAACCCTTTCTCCTTTGTTGCTTTTCGTAACTGTCCTGTCGGCGACAGACTGCTAAGGAAGAGGGCAGACTTCCATTTCTGTGATTTTGCATCAGCTATTGGAGCACGTAGTACTGTTCACACACAGCAATTTGCCATCAGTGACATAAGCAAGGCCTCCCTTGGCTCTGCATTGAATCAAGCTTAAATTTAAACTACCAAAAAAATAAAAAATTACATTTTGAACAAAATTAGGGTGGCATTCTTTTCTTCAGCTTCCAATTTCTAGGAGGTTTTGGTCCTAGTTTTGGGTGGAGCACTACAGAAAAGAGGATAGTCCATTCGCCTAATAAACTCTAAACCTCCAGCGCTTCGTCTTCAATAACCTTGATTGAAATCTGTCGCCTTAAGTCCCGTACCTGCTGTTCTCACTCCAAAGCGGTGGTGCGTTGCTGCAAAGCACTGCTACCACCTCCCCATCTTGAGGCCGGTGGAAGTTCATCTCACTCAAAAATCGGGTCCTGCGTTCAGATGCCAGCCTTGTTTCCCAAATAATGAATCAGCTCGTGAACTCGGCTTGTTTATCAGATGGGTCATTACTCCTCCAAGAATTTTGTTCTAAAATTATGCTTCTTGCCACCTAGTAACTATGGGACAGCTGGTAGAAACACTAAGCAGTGTATCATACTGAGTTATGCGTTGGGTCTCACTGTGAACTAACCCGTCGCCAGCAGCGAGATCTACGAGCTCCATTTCATTTCTCGCATCACAAGATGAGGAATGAGGAAACGGGAGGAAACATGTGAATTAAGTGGTTTCAGTAATGCACTGTCTGTAAAGCGGTTTTAAATTTAGCACAAACAGTTGTAATTACGAAATTAGCTTTCATGACAAAGTTTGTGATGGTTCTGCATAAGAAGCAGCGGTCTGGCTATTCACCGAGCAGAATCCAAACAGCCCCGGAGGTACCTTTTTTTAATATTACTGGTTGTATAATTTTGCCTTGCGTACAGAGAAGTCCCCATGTTAAAATAATAAGAAACCAAATTTAAATGACTGTGTTTCTGATCTCAACACCTGCACAGCACCATACTTGAGATTCAGGGGAAAGCTATGGTTAGTATTTGGTTTTTTTCATGCGGTCAGAGCAAGCTTTTGTCTTTACAGCTAATAAGGGTATTAGCCCACGGAGGGCTGTCCCTGCGCCACGGTTTGGTGTTGAGGGTCAGTTGGGAGAGCCCGTGTTAGCTCTGCTGGTGGTTTGGGACTGCTGCCTGCCAGGAACGGGGACAGGGGTGTTGCCTCAAGGGCCAAGACGTCTCCACTCCCGGTTGAGCATGGCTCTGGGCTTGCTCTGACATCCAGGCTTATGGAAAGGTGTTGGCCTGCTGGGGACACCAGCTGCACCCGAGCACGGGCTCCTGGAGGGGATGTAGTGGGCTGCGGTCAGGGATGGGGCTGAGGGCTCACGGCCGGGCGGCCAGCTGGAGCTGGGCTCCCCCCGAGCATCCCATGGAGAGCAGGTCCCGGTTCTGTATGCTCTCAGGGGACAGCCCAGCACTGGCACTCGTTGTAATCGAGGGCGCCCTTGCTGGGGACAAAAGAGGTGCTCCTGGGTGCACCTTTGCCTACGAGCAGCGCAGGATTGATAAGCACTGCCCTCACGTCCCTTCGGGCCTTTCTGCTCAGAGCTGGGGGTGAAGGAGGAGGAGGAGGATGCTGGTGTGCCGCCATCTCAGAGGGGCTTTGCTGGGGACCCTCAGCTCTCCCAGCGGGAGACAGGGGTCCATCTCCAGCCTACCCTGGGGTTTCCGCATGCCCGGGGTCTCCCGTGGCCGGTGCTCCCCTGCAGCCCTGTGCCCAGGTAAGGTAGCGAGCAGAGCCGTGGTGCTGAAGCTGGCTCAGGTCCTCAAGGGCCGTTTGGTGGCAGATTTTGAGGAAGCTGCAGGTGACTGAAAGAAAACGGTGATGCAAGGGCAGGAGCCCTGGGAGTGCAGGATGGTCTCCCAGCCGTACAGAGGACGGTGCTGCCATCCCTGGGCTCAGGGAGCACATTATGTGCTTCATTCAGCCCATCCAGCTCTGCTCGAGAGGGTAAAGACTCCTCTGGTTGCCGTTGCCAAGGCACTTGTCTATCCTTGACCCTCTGCGAAACAGGCGCTGCAGCACCCTGTGCCATCACGGGGCAGCGTCAGCAGTCGGAGGGGCCACTTGGCTGTCAGGGCAGCTGACCTGGCCCTGAACCTTCACTGTCCTCCGATTTCAGAGGTACCTCCAGGGCATCCCTGAGGTCGCCCCGCTGCCCGCCTCCTCCCCAGCCCTGGAGGCGCTGGAGGGGCCGGGCTGGGGA